TTGATTGGACTGCCCCACCTATCAAATATCCCAAAATGAGGACTCACATTAAAGCCTAAACCTAACCTTCATACTCCTCACTACTAAACTGGCATTGGCTAGATTTGGCAGAAATCAGTAGCAAAGACTATATATTTAATCATTTAAAAGTATAGAAATGTGAAATCTCTATTTTCTGTTGAAATTCAGCTCCTCTGGCACCTTCCCCTATCCCATTTTCCGAAAATAAAATAATTTAAAAAATATATACGTTTGATTTATATTAAGAATTCAATATTTAAAACATTTCTTCGAATCTTCCATTATATCAAAATAAATATTAGTGAAAGTAATTTTATCAAGAAACTTTATAGTAATTTGCATATAGATGTAGCAAATTAAGCCTACTCCATACAGTAACAATCCTGGTTGCTCCACTGTTTTCTCTTTGATAAAATTATTCTTAGGTCAGTTCAAAATAAGGGAAACAATGCTGTTTAAAACTGTTAGGTATAAAAGTAAAAACAATAACCTATTCCGTTTTCTAAAGTAATTAATTAAAATTTGGAATTTTGACAAAAATTTAAATTAAAAAGAAAATGACAAGTATGGCTGAGTATATCACTGACTACTTGTGGGGTCAAAAAAATCTCTTTGCATCTATCAAATGGAAGTCATTCTGCAAAAAATTAACATCACCAAGGCACGAATTAAACAGGAAGCCCGAACAGACCAAGGCCAACAAAACACTGATCCATAAAATCAAAGCAGGACTGATTTGAAATAATGGTATAAGTTGATATAATGAACATAACCTATTTCCAAAGTAAGACATCAGAACAATTATATTACAGAAATTGACTGTGAGAAACAACTTGTGCTCAGGGGTGCCCAACCACCAGATGGCGCATTAACGTCTCTTTCCTCCCCCCTTCATGTTTTATTGCTCTCTTCTTTCTAAAAACAGCGGAAGCGAAGATAAAATTAAAAAAAAAAAAATTATAGATCATATACAATAAAATTTGCTGTGGTCTGTTCTATGTTATTCATTTGTCGCTGAAACTCTTCATTCCGAAGATTCATAACCCTCTTAAATGTGCCTCCCTCAAAAATTCAAAACCTCTTGAAAATTTCCCTCCTCAAAAATTTTGATGGCGCATATTGCGCCATGAAACTTCCTGCAGGACACCCCTGCATGTGCTAAAAAAGAAAAATGGCTATTATAGACAAAAAAAGGGGTACCAGATCAATTTTATATCCATTACAAATAATAAATTAAATAAAACATACCAATTGTTTTTTTTAGCCTAAGAGAAAAAATTGTTTTGGAAGTTATGAACTTGCAACATCCATTAACCTGAATGCTCTTTTGAATATACCAATTTTATGAATATACCATTCAAGATGTTTTTTTTATTTTATATATTTCTTTAGTTCTCAATTATCTCAGGATGTTTATATACTTAAGTTAAAAGTTAAAAAACTTATGTACAAAATTAGACAAAATTTTCCACAAAAAGTCAAATGTACTTGTTTTATAGGGTTTGAGCAAGTTTGGATAAAATGACCTAAGGTAATAAAAAAGCGTCAACACAATGATCCTGAAAAGTTGTACTGAAAGAGAAATAAAGAAGACCAAACTCTCGTCAGGACTACCCAGTGGACAGCAAATTGTTATATTAGTTAATCTCCCAAGAGTTTGCAATCTTATGAAACCAAAAGAAAATAGAAAAACTGAATGTTATAAAAGACAAACAGTAGGATAAGGTTTTACAGCATTACAATCAGGATTTGTAACATCTGGTTTGCTAAAAAGATCTGGAGCTCTGAAGTCTCTATCAAAATGAAGATCTCAAATAGAAATTCAATATTTTAACCTCACACTAGAGCCATCTCCATAATTGAATGGTAACGGAATCAAGGTTCCAGTTCAAGAATAATAACTCAGTTTTTTAGAGTTATCATGAAGGAGAACATATATTTGATTCCAGCTTTCTAGTAAGCCATGAACTCAACCAATGAATAATTACTTAAAACCCTTTACTGCAACTATCCCTGTAAAAAGAGTAATAGAAACTTTCTTTAATTAAATTATAATAAATATTCCAGCTTACAATAAATCAGAAGACGAAATGGTTTATATGCCTTGATGGATACCTACTCTGAAAACCATAAATACAATATGAAGATAATATGTAATAGACAACCTAAATGTAAAAGTAGGCAAGAACCATACTTGCAGCACATTAATCAACTAGATAAGCCATATCCTAACTCTGAGATCCCATAAATCGGAACTACAAAATTTTGTCAAGTTTCGTTGTAGATACCAATCAATTGATAATTTCTTAACAACCCATTTGACTCTTATTAGCATTTTTAACAGTGTCATCTAGGTTGGTTACTTTGTTCCTTAAGGGATAAAATTGCACCATTGCTGTTGCTGAATGTGGCCCACCAGTGCTAGTCTGGAGAGCAAAAGGCCAAGTAGAGAAAGGGGAGAAGAATATCTTCTGATTGGTGGGTGCAAATATCAGTGGTAAGATGAACATAAGGAAGTATATAAGTATGAACATAAGGTATTTTCTTTGATCAAGATCACAAGTGATGTTCTCCGTTAAGCATCATTCTCAAACTTATATTGAAGGGGCGTGGTGGTCGAGAGGGCTAACGCATGTGTACAACACCGCATATTGCCTGGCAACCTGATAACCAATTAACAGATGACAAAATAATTTCGAGTTTGCATCCCAGTACCAGGCCTTTAATTCTGGCATCAATCCCCCGCTATCATCCCCTGGCCTGAAAAAAAACACATATACTGCTGGATTGCTTCTTCTGGAACTACAGAGATGACTGTAATTTATAATTTGTTAAAATTCTATATGTGATTAAGAAGCAAATATCAGTTTTAGTTATCAATGTTTTGTTGTGATTTCTAAAGATGTGAATGAATGTAATGTTGCACCAGGAATTGAGAATAATTTGCTACAGTAAACATGTCCTAATAAATGATGCTGATTGCCTTGACTTGTTTATCTCATTTTTTTTTTCTTTCAATTTTTAACATCTTGCAATGTCATAGTATACATAACATAATATAATAATCTCTGTTAATTAATTTCTTTTTGATAATATGGATTAACTTTGGTCAGGATTTATATCGTATGAAATTCGTTTAACATATTTTTTATTATTAACTTTCTAGTTTTATTACAAGTTTGAAAAAAGAAGCTGGTTTTTATAAGGATCTTTATAAAAAAGTTTTTAATATATTTTTTCTACTTGTTCTTCCCTCTGACAGAGAAAGTTTTAAATTGAAACGATCTTTTATTTTCAGAGTTTTTAGTAAGTTTTAGAAACTGTTCAATTTTTTTAAATAATAAAGCACACAGATATCAACAATTTAAAATAGTGGATTTTTCATCCATTTATATAGAAGCTAAGTTCTAAATTTCATGCTTTATGAGTCCTATAAATGGTTAACAAATTAGTCCAAAAAGTTCAATAACTGGTGCAAACTAAGCCACATTAACATTATATAAAATTCTTGAGAGGAACACAATTAATAAAAAGATAATTTTTGGAGATTTTACAATTCAGAGATTTTCAGGCTTAAAAGAGTATTTGTTCATTAATTTATAAACAAATTTTAAAATACAGCTATGGTAATAATGAACAATAAATTAGTATTAAGTTTTTCAAAGCTATGTTACACAGAAATAATAGTATCAATTATGACATTAATATGACAAACTATTTGACTAACATGTAATGAGATAGCCCTAAAATCATTACAAATATTAATAAACTCTCAATAGCCAGTTGGGTAGTCAAAAAGAGTAATTAGAGTGTTGGCCTTAGATATTTGGCACTCCCCTGTGATTATGTTATCTGACCTCAAAAATTGAATTTACTTCTTGAACTGTTTTATAATAAGTAAACATGAATAATAATCCATAGTCTTTTATAGACCACTTTTCATAAACATTATCTATTTCAATTACTTACACACTCAAGAACATTTGACCAAAAGAACCAGCACTAATAAAACCATAATTAAACACTGAATAAAACCATAATTAGCTCAGGTTATCAAGAAGCAGTTTTATTGAGATATGTATAAATGGTAAGGTACTTATAAAATCATAATAATAATAAGGCTTAACGAACTCGAAAGATTTTATGCCAATACCACCAATCGAGGTCCACATCCTTCCATCCTCTGTACAAGCCAGTCCCTTCAGATCAGCCTTAATGCAATCTTCCCACCTTCCCTTTGGTTTAGCCCTCGGAAATTTACAGGTTGGCACAGTGGATATTCATTTCTCAGGGGTTCTTTTGTTACTAAACCCAGCGATTTTATTCGCCTCAACTTAATCATCTCAATTATATTAACTGGTTTCAGTTCGCACAGTTCAAAGTTGTGTAACCGCCTATAAATTATCCAGTTGACTCATCCTTCTTTGGTCCGAATGTTCTGAGCAATACTTTATTTTCAAAAATCTTAAGACATTGCTCATCTCTTAACATAAGCAGCCACGTTTCACATCCATAAAGGATAATGGTTTAGTAAATTCTAATTTTTAAGTTTCGGAACAGGAGGCATGAACTAAGTAATTTTGACAAAGAAAAATAACAAGCATTTTCCGCAAAATCATAACAGTACTAAGAAATTATTTAATAATAATACAGTTTGAAATCATTTTCTAAAGATATACTGAATCATCAAATGACAAATCATAATTGAGGCGTTATTTCAGGAACTAAACCTGAACAAAACTCAATTAAAATGAATATTGACTAATTGGTTATTTTAATTTTCATAATTCTAATATTTTCAAGCAATACAAACTAAAAATAAATTATAAAATACATTTTCAAAGAAAACAATCTAACACCCTATATTAAACATATTTAAACTTCCCAAAAAGCCATTTTAAAAACAATCTAAAATTGAACACTTAACTAATTTAATAATGTAATAAAATATAAGAAGTTTTCAATAGCAAACTAGTTACCGGAAGAGAAAATTTGACAGTTTTAGCATTGACAAGTCTCTAATTTAAAAGAAATTCCTTTTTCAACAAACACCGGTTCATACTGATCATGAATTTCACTCATTGCTTTAATATATGGTTCTGGATTACATGGATCTTCTGTTAAGTAGAAATGAAATTTCTTAATTCCTGTTGCAATGATTTAGTTAATCATGGTTTCATAATGTTAATATTAAATCATACATATACAACTTTAAAACAGAAGAAATAATGTAATCTTACTTAAAGAGTTGTTTTCAATATATTTGAGAATAATATGGAGGGAAGAAATATTTTCCAGAGGACCTCGATATGTGAATTCTTCTAAGAATGGTAGATCCATGAGAAGTCTCGCTATAACATGATCCACAGGTGTCATAGGACGGCATAAATATAAATTTATTTTTTCTGCAACATATCAATAATTTTAAAACACTACGTTTTTAATGACATTTTCCATATAAATCAGAAAAAATAGATTCTCTTTTCATTTCAGACAAGAATATGGCGGTATAAATATAAGAAAATTGCTGAGGATTATGAAAGCCTAGTCCAAAAGACATTGGAAGACTACTACACTGCAGAGTAAAACTGAAACATGAATTTACAGTTAGAAATAGGTGAACCTCTGTTACCAGGGCTATTCAACTTGTTTTTGCAATAAGAGCGATAAAAAATAACCTAGGAGGTACAATTTATAAGATTTATCTTGTTTACATAGATAATGTGGTGTTGTCAGTATGGACAATGTAAGACAAGTTTGGTGCTTTCGGGCAGAAAACTGCAGTGAATCAAATAAGAATCGAAATTAGTGATGGAAAATTTGTCTAAATGAGATCTTTAAGAAATATATTTCCTATGAAGGAACAAGTTCTGTTGGGAAGTCATAAGTTCAACTCATGTGACTGTTTCAAGCCAAATATCTGATATTCCAAGTAATAAAGAAAAATGCAAAAATATACATTAAAATCAGGGTTGCAGCAGGCAATAGATGCCTTTTTATATTTAAGCAAGTGTTACATTTTCCGTTTCTTCCACACTAAGAAAAATTGCTGTTATATAAAAATAATACGATCTATTGTAAGTTATGATAGTGAAACATGTGTCTTAACAAAGGAGAATATATGTACACTCCAAATATGAGAAAGGAAACAGCTAAAAGAAATATATACAGTCATATATGTATAGTACTACATGTGAAAATGAACAGAAGGAGAAAAAAGACAAATATGAAATTATAAAATCTCTACTGAGAGCCTGATTTGATAATCTATATAAAGAGATTCTAAGATGGATTAGCCATGTTTAGCTATGGAAGCAGCCAAGAGTAAGCATATTCCAACAAATTAAAGCATTGATATAGCAGTAATATATATATATATATATATATATATATATATATATATATATATATATATATATATATATATATATTTGTTTGATCAAAAGTTTATTAATAAGAAATTCAAAATAAGAAATATATTTATATAATTTATGCAGTTTCACTTTTTAAATTTAACTTTAATGAAATAAACTCACTAAGGAATTTTTTAAAATTAGTAACCAGAGTATGGACAAGTCCATGAAACAACACGGGTTCATCATCAGATTTCAACCCTGTTGAAGCATAGAACCCTTCAAGAGGCATATAATTGATTAAAACTGGTCCGACAGAATGAAACGTTTTCACTTGAGCTGTAACAGATTTTTTTATTATGGTCAATATTGAAATTTTAGATATATTTAAGATGGAAATAGTATTGGAAATAGTGGAATTGTTTTTATTACAATACTTCCTTATTTTAATTCTAGTACTATATGATTTTTCAACCAACCAGTTGGGATAGAGCACAAATAAATTAAATTATGCTTTAATGAGATAATTAATTTTTGTAAGTGATATAACAAAAAATGCCCTGTGATAAACTTTCTTCAGATCATAGTCCAGTTTTGCTTTCATTACTCTCAACATTCGCTCATAAGCCCTCCTCCCCTCCAACATTGATTACAGGACAAGTAAACTGAGACAAATTTCGTAAAGACTTGATAGATAAATTAAATCAAAATATTCCACTTAAAATGAAACATGGCATTGACACAGCCATAGAAATATTAAAAACATCTGTAAGTAACAAAATTAACAATAACAAATCTATCAATAAAATTAAAAACTCCCAACAGACTAACTGGTGTCCTAAAATGGTGCTTGTCCTTCTTACACCATCACTCTCAGACAGTTTTGATTCCAAACTAACCTCCATCATCACTCCTTATATTAACATGAGGTGTTCTTCAGGGTTTCCCACTCTCTCTGACCCTTTCCTCTATTTATATTAGAGATCTTTTGGGCGCCATTCAACATTCCAGTTACCACCTATATGCCGACGATTTCCAAATTTACCAATCCTTCCAACCTTCTGAGATGGCTGAGGCTATCCTAAAGCTATAAGAGGGTGCTGGCTTCATCAACAGATGGGGAGAAATAAATGAGTTAAAGCTGAATGCAGATAAAACTAAGGCTAATCTCATCGGGTCCAGACATCTCATTAATTCCTTTCCTTACTTTTCTCTACTTTACCTCAATAACTCCCCATCCATTTTTCCGTATAGTCAAAAAGCTAGGAGTAACCTTTGACCAGAACCTCTCCTGAAATAACTATACCACCCAGATTACCCAAAAATGCTTAATTACCTATAAAGAACTTCTAAGATTACGTGATTGCATTCCTCTAAAAACCACAAAACTCCTTATAAACTACCGTGTAATCCCTCCCTATGACTACGGCTGCTTGGTGTATGGAGGACAGTCTGCCAGGCTAGAAATAAGACTGAAGAAGCTTATGAACTTTTTAGAGTATATGTACTTTTCCTGGGTCAGGGATAAGGATGGATAATTAACACCAGAGTTAAAAGTCCCCTTGAGCACCGGAACGCGAACTCGTGGTTATTATATCAAATCATCTTTGATCCTGGTTGCCAGGCAATGACAGTGCTGTTTATATGCATTAGCCCACTCGGCCACCCCGCCCCCAATAAAGAGACTCATGAACTGCTTCATACATCTTTAGGATTCCCATGTGTTCTCATGTTTCCTTCTGGTACACCGAGCTGAAGTGGCTTTATTATACTTCCCGACAGCAATTCCTTCTTGGTGTTTTCCTCTAAGTTCCTCTATCCACTATCTTAATACCATATCTCAACCTATAGATTTATATCTCCTCCCATAAAACTACTTCCTTCAACAAATCCTTCACCATTCGTGCTACCTCCTTTTGGAACTACCTCCATATGTTAATCTTCATCCACAAATTCATTCAAACAACTCCTATTCCACCACCTATTCCATATTCAAACTTCCACAAACATGTACTATTTGCTTGCTTCTATACACTATATAGATAAACAGGCATTATTTTGTATACTCTTAGCCAGACTAATGCTCATATTTATTTAACTCAGTCATTATTCTTGGGGGACAGTGGCCACAGAATAAAATTATTTTTTCATTTCATCTCTTTAAATCCTTTAATCCACATGCAGATATCCTAAATCTAATCCACTCTGAGTTTATTGAAACAGAATTGGATATTCCACTTCAACTGACCCTTCCACCTGAAGCATTTCATCCTTCAAAAATATCCAATTTCATTCACAGATTATCTTCTCATAAAGCTTCTGGACACAACCTAATCACATCTCAGATCTTAAAACACTTCCTCGGAATGCCATTCTATTCCTTATTTATACATGTTGGCAAAAAGGACCAATAGGCCCACTTGCCGGACTAAGTCCCTCCACCTGTACCAGTACCAGTATTTATACATGTAATGCTGTGCTCAAATGACAACAAACCGCTAAATGTTTCTGATTACATTAACACTTACTGGAACTAGACAAACAGTCTAAGCTTTCAATTAATTACAAAAGCTTCATATACATCACTATAATAAGACCTATTGAGACATATGGAATTGAGCTTCGGGGCTTCATTAAACCATCAAACTCCTCTCGAATCTAATCATTACAATCCAAAATCCTTCATAAAATCCTCAATGCTCCTTACCTTGTCACAAATAAAATCATCCATAACAAGCTAAAAACCCATACGTTTCTGATTTAGCTCAGTCCAGATATATATCCTTCCACAATAAACTTCTGACAACACAAACCCTTGTTTCTAACCTTAATTCCTCTTCGATTCCTGATAATCCTCCGAGGTGTCTGAGAAGAAGATGGCCTCAGGATCTTCTAATAAAGAGCTATTATTAGAGTGCTACCAATGGGTAGTTTCTCTTCATGTTACATATTTTATGTCACCAATTCAAATTTACTAGTAGCATTTGTTATCTAAGTTGTAAATTTCAATATGTATATTAAAAATAAAAATAAATTTATTTAGCACTACTACTGGTTTTCCTTCTACTGATCTTCATTTAACTTCAATAACCCATTAAAAAGATAGAGGTAAATCATTAAGATCCTTCATTCATTCACATAAAATTACAAAACTTATTACTTTATATTAAATAATTTCTTACGTGCAACAAAGTTAATTCGAAGACATGGACATAGTTTATAAGCTTTTTTCCAAGCATTGTGACATATATATCTCTTGGTAAAGTAGAGATCATCATTATTAGTATACAACATATTTAGTTCCCTTAATGTCCCGTTCCTTATGCACCCAAGATATAATAATGATTCACCTAAATAAAAAAATATGTTGACTTAACAACTTAAAAAAGTAACAAGTAGCAACAAAGTAACAAGGAAAAAAAATAACCAAAAAAAGTTAAAATAATGCAGACAATTAGGAACAGAAAACAATATAATTATTAATATGGAAAATTGTAATTTAAGGCTTGATTATATTTATAGAAAGAACAGAGAATCTTTTTCTTTATTTCTTCCTTCCAAGATTTTGTAAAATAACACATTTTAAAAATTATGCTTAGATATTTTAAAATAAACAGGTCCACTTATTAATAATAGGTGTATCTGGTTTTTATGATCAAAATTTAATTATATATAATTTTTATTATATTTTACATAATCTAACATTAATTACTTTTAATTTCCCACTAACAATGTATAAGATTGATCCATCAGTTTTATTAAATGAAATTTAATATCGAATTAAATGACCAATTACATAAAACAAATATTTGTGTTTATAATAATGAATATTTAAGAGTAAATTTTAAAAACCAATCAAGCTCAGATTAACAAAAACAAATATAATATCAAACCTAACTTCATCTAACTTAACAAAAATTTAAAATTAAAGTAAATATAAAGTTACCTATATATATATATATATATATATATATATATATATATATATATATATATATATATATATATATATTGAAGTATAGCTTTTTGTTTGGTTCATAACAACTAACTGCAAAAACTACAAAACTGATTTACACCCTGTGTTTTCTTAAGATGATTTTGAAGGAGCGTTTAGACATTTCACAAACTATGGGAAACACAATTATCTAACTTAAATAATACCGAAACTATTCCTAAATCAAACTATTTATTTTATTTCTCTAGATACCTACACCACATGAAAAAAAATGATAACAAAAACCAAAATTAATAGCATAGTGAAGTGACCATTTATATATTTGTTTGCCCCATAGCTTGTGAAATGTCTAAATGCTCCTTAAGCTATTGAAATCCTCCACCTGAGGAGTAGAAAGAAAGTTTAAAATATATTTAACGTGATTAGAGACCTATATCAATTGACTTGATAATTTTTAATTCTAGTTTTACATTGTTGTTGGAATTGCATTGAAATAACTGTGAAAAATGTCATCTGAACAACAAAATATCGCACAGGGTAAATGCAAAAGTAGCTGACATGCTTAAAGGAAATTTCTATGAACTTATAGATGTAAAAACGTAAGTACTGATGTTAATGCATTTTTCTGGGATTCATCTTATAGAACTACTTATCATCTTGTCAAAACACATTTAAAATCCATGAAACATCCAGTTAAATTTTAAAAAATTGTAAATTAGAGAATATTTTGGTTACACCAGTCACCAGTAGGTGACACTGATTTGGAATCTTCCTATATCTGACAGGGATGAGAACATTGATATCATTATGCAAAATAAGGTGTTTAAATTTTATATTTTTCTTTTTAAAATATATGTTAAAAAAAATTACGTTTAACTATTATATTTAACTGCCTTCATGCCTATCCGGAATAAAATTTATCGGCAAATGCTGGATACAGTCAAAAAACTGTTTCTGGCAATAGGAAAACCTATGTTTAATTTGTATTTAATCCACAACAGTAGCAACTTTTACTTTAACGAGAGATTAATGGATGGAAGAACCATTATATAAATTATATCTTTGAAAATATGGGAGTAAATATTTGTCAGCTATAGACATAAGACCGAATACAAGGCTGTAGTATCTGACACCCATTAAATTCCCAATTCTTTTAACAAAATATGTTAAAAAACAGATAAAATATTATCTACAAACATTCTAAAACAAAATAAAATGTTTGGAATAGGTCGAAGTAGTTAAAGAGAAAAAGAAAAACCTAATTTATGATATTCTTACTGATCGCTGGTTGTTCCTATGTGGCAACACTGATCCATTGAATATTAAGTTATCATTTAGATATATAAACTGCTTATTGTTATTACTGAATCACGGTCGGATCTACAGGAGGTTGCTTTGGGGCTGAAGCTCCCCTCCCCTCCCAAAATAGTAAAATATAACCATGTTTTATGGGAAAAAATATTAAAACATTATCTCTTAAAGTATTATTGTTCGTGTAATTACATTTCAAGGACTTTAGGAATCACTTAAACACCATTTCATATAGGTAGTTAGTTTTTTTTCTTTTTTTCCAAAGTAATTATCGTTATTTTTATGAAAAAAAGCTTTCTGACTGAAGCCCTCCCCAAAATTAAATGCTGGATCCGCTAGTGTACTTATTATACTGGTTTATATACTTATTACTGTTATAACTAAATATACATACTTAGTAAGTATGTATATTAATTGCCTTTTCATTTATTTATATATGTAATTACTGTTCTACATTGGCGATGATGGGAGAGTGTGTTCGTGTCAAGTTCCTTTAAGTGATTCGGTTATAATGATGTCGATCGAAACCAATAAACCTCCACCGTTCGATCCTCATTCAGAGCATTCAGAGATCCTCATTCAGTGGTCGGTCAACGTTGGAGGAAATGGGTAAAAAATTTAGAGCGATATGCTGTCGCTGCAGGTATAACCGAGGATGATCCTGCTGTTCAATATTGCTAGAAATGAGGTAAACTGTATTTATGATAATTGTGGGGACACAATCTTTCTTATCAGTCAAACTCTACCAAGACAACATTTAATGTGGAAGGAGGGCAAGGCGAATCGGTTCTTTTTTTCAAAACTGGACATGGTTCAAATCCTATGTCCAATCACAAGTGATTCGATCGGCCGGAAGTTTCCTCCTGTTTTCAGAGGAACTGGCAAACTCAAGGACCGACAAATCAAAATTCACATTGACCCTAATATCGCTCCAGTTGCACAGCTTCATAATCAGATTCCTTTCCATTTCGCCCGAAATTAGAGGAAGAAATCAAGCGCCTAGAAGTCGCAGACATAATAGAGCGTGCTAGCGGATCCATTTTCTGGTTCTCTCAGGCAGATCTTGTTCCTAAGTCTCACAAGCCGGATCAGCTGATCGATATGAGGGCAGCTAACAAGGCTATTCAGAGAGCGCGATCAATTACCTACCATTGATGATCTTATCACAGTGGTTAACGGTGTAGTATTTTTCTCAAAGTTTAATCTCTGTTTTTGGTTTCATCGAATTGAGCTTAGTGAGTCAGCACGAGGAATTACCAAATTTTACACTTACAATGGGTTATGGGGCTACAGGAGCTTATTTTTCGGTATCATATCGGCACCAGAAGTTTTCCAAGATATCATTTGTCAACTCATTGTACTTGTCAAGAATGCTGTAAACGATAGTGATGACAATTCGGTTTTTGGAATGTCCCAGCAAGAAAATGACAGGTCATTGAAGAAGTGCTCCTATCCTTGTAGATGTAGGCTTGACCTTTAATAAGAAAAATGCCAGTTTTCTTTTCTCAGCTTTCATTTTTTGGCTTTGAGTTTTCGGCCAAGGGACTTCGAGCATATCCGCCGCTTATCATCAGGGACTTAGCATAATCCGCTAAAATTTGCCGCTCCCTCCAGCAAGGACGAGGTCCACAGTTTTCTGGGCAAAGTGGCATACTATGGCAGGTTCCTAACCTTTCTTCTATATCAGAACCTCTACGTGCCTTGATTAAAAACAAAACACTTTGGTTGTGGGGAAAGAAAGAACAATCAGCTTTTGATAACCTCAAGGAAATCTTTAAAAAGAACTTGACCAACGAATACTTCGATCGAAACCACGCAACTGAACTAATTACTAATTGTCTTTAATTGATGGTGGGGGAGCAATTTTTGGTATTGTTGCTTATGGAAGTCGATCACTCATCCATGCTAAAAAGGAGTACTCCCAGATCGAGGGGATGCTGGCCGTGTGCTGGGCTATGGAGCTGTACCGCCTCTACCTACTGGGCGGTCAATTTAGAATTGTAACGGACTACAAACTATTGGTAGGTGTTTTGGTTCAAATAGAGAAACCACACCTAGGCTAAAACTTCTTAGACTAAAATTGCAAGGACATGATTGTGCATCGGCCAGGCACGACTAACCCATTTGATTACTTTTCTCGTCATCCGTCCTCATTATCTCGAATTTCGAGATCTCTAGAAAGCTTCGTTAACTTCCTCACTGATACGGCGCTCCCTACTTTAGCAGGGTGAAAATTGAACTTGTTAAAATCTATTTTGCAATCCACAAGCCAGCATAAATCTGATTATGGGCTTCAGCTATGCAGGCACGTCTTGTCGGTTAAGTGTGACTGAAGATCGTATTTTACTGCGAGCGAGGTAATCTATACAGGCAATTCCTTTACCCGCCAGGCCTTGATCCGAACTTTCAATCGATTTTGCGAGCTCTTTTCCTGGTGATAAATATATTTTGGCAGTGACAGACGAGCATTCTCGTTTTCCTTTAGTGGGCATAGTTTCATTGATTTTAACCTCGTCAACTTTGAAGAACATACGCAAACACGTCTCTAAGTTTGGGGTCTCTGACGTTCTTAAATCAGACAATTGTGAACCGTTCAATAGTAAGAGTTATGCTAATTTCCTTGTCACCTGGGGGAGTGAGGACCTGCCACACCCTACTGATCTGAAGCCAATGGCACGTCAGAGAGATTCTTTAGGACACTTAGAAAAAAAAACAGTGCAGACGGCTATTGTGGAAAAGAAGAATTTTCGAGATCTGGGCGCCTATTCAATGAATTATCGCACCGCACCCCATACAACTACTGGTATCAGTCCAGCTGGGGATATACCGAACAACCCTTTACTGTTATTTGCCAATTGTCGAACCTGTAGAGAAACTCTTGGAAGTGGAAACACGAGGCTATCAAAACAAATGGATGTCCAATTACGCAAATAAGAAGTGTCGTGTTGCTCCTTATGGGCTATATCCTTCGGATATAGTTCTTGTAAAGCAGCCTCAGATCAACAAGTTTACCCCATTCTTCCATCCTAGCCCTTATGAAGTGGTCTCCGTTAGTGGATCAGGTCACAGCTAAACGCCAAAGGAAAACAATTACGCGCTACAGCTCATTTTGCAAACGCCTAGACAATGCTTCTAACTTTGATAATGTTGAGGTAGAAGAAGAGTACTTGGATGATGTTGAGCAGCAGCTCACCAGTGACCAGGAAGAAACCCTGTTCCAGCAAGTGCCTCAGCGGAATCTCACCAAGATCCTCTTAGACCTCCTATTAGCATTTCAAGATCCATGAAGCCTCCAGAACGACTCAAAGACTATTATTTGCCTCCTCGGGAAAAGATGGAGCATAGTAGTAACACTGATTCATTGAACATTATGTTATTTTTCAGATATATAATCTTCTTATTTTTATTACTGAATATCCAGGTGTATTAATTGCCTTTTCATTTATTTATATAGGTAATTACTATACTACACCAAGACAGTAACGTGGACCTTCCTAATTTGCCACCCTTTGTTTAGGTTACGGATTCCGGCAAGACTAAAGCAATGCAGACAAAGTATACAAGAAGAAATACAGAAACCAAAAGTTTATGGTCTAGAAGTCTAGGAGGCCCTGAAACCTTATTATTCAAATTTTTCGAGGATAATGTCAGGTATTAGTACACTGTCAGCTACTGGACTTTCACTCCAAACATAAGAACGACAAAACTCGGAATATAACTGATTCAAAGGTTCTATAAATTTATATTTATATATATTTTTAAATATTAGAGATTGATCACCAGATAATAATGCATAAATAACTAGTTTAAATTCTTGAAATTATTTGGTTGCTGCCATTTATAAGTAATTTAAACCAGTTTTTCTTTTGGTACATATACTTTGGTTGTTAGTAAAGAAATAGTTTTCTGAATTAAATTGTTTTGATTGATTTTTGTCTATTATTAGGACCGTATTTTGGACTTCACTTCTGTTATCAAATGGTATAGACGTAAGAAAAAAAAATTAAATTGCTTTAGAAATGTATCGACAAAGATAACATTCGAATTCAAACCTTTGCTGTTTTCGGAGCGACTGACATTTGCAATGACCATCAACAATGCGTAGGGAAGTTTAAATTAAAACAAGGAAAAATGGCGGAAAGTTTCATTACTCACCTTGACCTCCAGCTAAGTATCTGTACTCTACGCTCAATCTTACCAAATACTCAAGGTAATAAAGTGCAAGATGTAATACCAGAGGTTTCAGTATACGGGGTATACAGTAATCACCCCGCATCACGAAGGAGAAAAACGTATAACTTATCAGCTTATCATCAAAATCAAATTTGTATGGAATGAATGGGTCCTCCAATGACAATACTGAAATATAAATGCGCATTTAATTTTATTAAAAATTAGGATAATTAACACTCGTTTGTAAGGTGAATCATTTTGTGCTTTTGCGTTTTACCACATATATTTTTAAAATATCAAAAGGATCAATTTCCATCTATTAATCAAGACCAAATGAATCTTATCTTTACAGGAAAACCTTTTGATTTTTTCATTAAAAACTAACCTTCACGACTTGTTATAGGAAGAACTCCTTCACCGAAGAAATACCACAAATGCAATCCCTTAAGTGAAATACCACTGGTTATACTAATGGCAAGTAGGAGCTTTAAACCGTCTTCAAGTCGTAGAAAAGTATTTTCGGCTGATATCCAATTCAGATGATTCTGTTCTCTGGCAGAAACAGAATGCAGATTATTGATTTTATAATCGTAAGGTAGAAAGCATTCCTACCATTTAAGATATTTTACCTCATTACTTTTGTCAAAATTGTGATAATTTGCTGTTTCGATTGATGGTTGAACCAATTAAGGCAGTAAAGGCTATCGTTTAGCATAAGATTATTAATTATTATTTCTTTGTGTGACATCTTAAACTTGTGAATTGCAGCTATGAAACACTAGAAGAAAAAAAGTAGGTTGAACAAACGAAAATAAAAAGAGTAAGGTAGGCATCACATAGGTTACAAACCTTCCTGAACTGAGATAGGTAAACCGCATCAGGCTTGGCTCGTGTGCTACGAAATGTCCATAAATATTTAGCCAGCTCGGTGGGGAAGGAATACCTGTCATATATCATCGGAAAGTACACAATTTCATGACAATTCAAAAAAGTTCCGTGTCTTCTTACATCACCAATTCTCGATTCAATCCTTTTAGGGTAGAAAATCAAGTTAATATTCTGGATTAGCGTCTCCAAACGTTTTGGCCCGAGGGCCACATTGAGACCTCCACTAACTCCCATGGACCGCAATAAGACCTCCACTAAGTTTCACTTAACTTCATTAATCTTGTTCTATAGATGACACTGCAGTTGTGAAAAGACTTTTCTAAGAAAAATAGCTCATGCAATAAAAACTGTGGTAACCTCCTGTTTGAGTGATTTACTAAATAATGATAATAAAAAAAGTGATTTACTAAATATCTCGTTTTATAAATTGTTTTTAAACTTTTACCATGTAATCAAAGAAACTTTCGCGGGTCGGATACGGCCTGCGGGTGGTAGTTTGAAAATCCCAGTTCTAGATAATAAACTTAATATATATTGTGAACATATTGATACTATCATTTTTATATATCTACTTCAAGAACGAATGAGCTGGGTCCTTTTTTTTTTTTTTTTTTGCGTATACTTTAGTTTCCTCACAACCGAAGGTAGCGATTAAATCTAAGCTAGTAAACAATGTTTACTAGCACTACTGTTTCAATGCTAGCGTCGAATATCTTCATTTTGTTATTCTCGAGGATATTTGACGCAGAATAAAGTTATTATTTTCTATCTATCTAAGATACAAATATATCTGGTATCGCTTATTATAAACTTCCCAAGCCTACATGCACGGGCGGATCTACCGAGGAGGGGGATTTGGGGCTGATGCCCTTCCCTCCTCCCAAAATCGTAAAATATAACCATGTTTCATTGAAAAAAAATATTTAAAAATTATCTCTTAAAGTATTATTGTTTCTTGTAATTAAATTTAAAAGGACTTTAGAAATCACTTTAACGCCATTTCATATAGGCAGTTTCTTTCTTTTTTTTCAAAGTAATTATCGTCATTTTTATGAAAAAAAAAATCTTTCAGGTTGAGGCCCTCCCCACCAAATTAAATCCTTGATCCGCTAGTGCCTACATGTTCCAAAATTTCTATATGTCTTATATTAAAATTCCCCTTGCAATACCTATAAGTCACACCCTGCTTTTCATACCATACCCTTCTGATTAACAAAATTATAACAATAATAATATATTTATTTGATTTTTTGATCTTGATCCTTAGGAAATTCTCAGAAATTGTTAATGTTCAAGAATTACTATCACTCGGATATATTCAGGTAGAGCACACAGCACTAGCGGATTCAGGATTTAATTTTTGTGGCGAGGGGCTTCAGCCCGGAAGCTTTTTTTTTCACATATATATATATATATATATATATATATATATATATAAAGATAATTAATTTGAAAAAAAATTTATAAATTAATTACCTATATGAAATGGTGTTTAAGTAGTTCTTGGAGTCCTATCAAACGTAATTACACGAACAAGAATACTTTAAGAGATAGTTTTTAATATTTTTTTCTGTAACATATGGTTATATTTTACCATTTTGAAGAGGGAGCTTCAGTCCGAAAACCCCTCCCCTCCCCCCGTAGATCCGTCTGTGGTACACAGCCAGCTGTGTTTAACTTCAGACGGTCGTAACGTATTCAGGTCCTGACACAGATAAACACCATTTTTTTTTTTTTTTCGCTGAACAATGAGTGAAATAGATTGTAAAGCAGACCCTACACGGTCATCCGGAATGACATTCCGCGACACTATTGGCAATCTGATTGATCGTGTGAGGTTATGATTGAAGTACTGATGGTCTGGAAGTTTAAATAACGAGAAGTGGAGAAGGGACTGAGGTATAAGTAGCGATGTGACGGTGCTGGTGGAGCAGTGACGTGTAACAGAGTCTCGGTTTGAAGCAGTGACGACCTATTCCATTCACTTGGACCTTATCGGTCCAGTGACAGTGGCAGTGATAGAGTACCGGTACTGCCCAACTGTGACAGCGGGACGGTAAAGCAGTAGAGTACCGATAAGGCCCAACTAAGACAGTCACAGGTACGTCGCAGCGGCCTGAGAAAAGGTGTTTTCTCTATTGCCAAGTATCAAATTGTTTAAAAAATATTTGAATGGAATGAATCGATTACGAAAATAAATTAAAAATAATCAAACACATATAAATTTTAATTAAAATTAATAATACTAATTTCTCGTCTGCTAATAATACATATTACTTTCACTTACGTTTTCTGTGTATATTGAAATTCAACAAAACAAATCACATTCTTGTTTTAATATTCACAAATATGATTTATGTATACTTATATAGATCGGCGGTTTATTGTAAGTATACGGAGTATAGTTTTGATATAGGTTAATTTTTAAATATACTTTTGTGAATTTTGACTTTACTTTTCGATATAAAATCACTGTAAATACATCGAAATGACACAAATCCGTTTATTTATAACGAATACAGTTACAACAATCTTACAATTTTCTAATTTCATTAGGGGATTAATTATTTAAAGTTATGAAATGTCTAATGTTTAATTTATAAATTAATTAATGAACACGAGGACTATTGGTTCATCAATATAATATCTAACATATTAATATATTCATAAATGAATGAAGTAAGGGAAAGTATAAAAAAACTTCTGTCACTTGACCGTTAATTTGTCACTGTTCCAATTGTATCACTGGAACAGTTGAAGCAGTGACAGATTTTTCCTGCACCGCCACATCCCTAGGTAAAAGTGGTGAGGAGACTAAGTTCTTTTATAACAAGGTATAATAGATGAGTTTACCTAGGCCTCGTAGCCATTGTAAATTTCTGATTTGAAGTAAATTCTTTTTCATATCCCTAGTTTATATATTTTTATACAAGATATTCAACTTTTTTTTTCATAAATAGTCAAGTGGACAATTAATTAATAAAATAAGTGGAAACCTCACAATTTACTTATAAGAGCAACTAATCTTTAACTTTTGTATACATTTGTCAGTTCTCATTTGTATACATTTTTCTCAACAAATTTAATAATTTCTCAATACGTTTCCTTAATTTTTCTAAATTGACTTATATTTTTTCTTTTTTGTAAACATGATTTTCAGGCTCTAGTTAGTAATCATTATTGCTCCATTTTTCTCTTGATGTCCAATGCTATAAAGGATAGTATGCCAAATAAGCTTTTTTAATGAAACACTAAATTATTGATTATTATTAATGAAATATTATTAATGGACAATGCAGCAGATCCACACTGTCTGTTATCTCAACGTCAATTGAATGATACCTGTAAGGTTAATTATGTTTCAAGCAATCCTTGTCAGTCTTTGATTGTCATTCATGACTAATCGTGAAGGGTCTGCTTAAGAGACTGATCGTGAAAATTTTTGAATTCGAGTTTTCAAGCCAAATATACATTTTGAAGTTCCCCGTGTCTGCATGAGCGAGTTTCACAAAATGGTTTGTTTAACTATGCCAAGTATAGCTCAATAACGAAAAGTTACGATACATACGAAAAGATACGACAAAAAAAAAAATTAAATTACGATTTATTTAACACTAATAAGTATATGCTTGGGTTGTTACAGAAAATTTCTTCCCTGAAATCGACTTACCAGAAGTGGCACTTTATATAATCGATTTTACACAGTTTTACTTTTTTTTATTTTCTAAAATGGCTCTAACGATTTTGATTAAACTCTTTATATCAATGTACAATTATTTTTTTGGATGCGATATTTACTTATAAATGAAATATATAGTAAGGAAATTTACGTATTGCAATTGTGAAGATTTTCGAATCGCAATTTTTAACAGAAATACACGTTTTGGGGTCCCATGGGCCCAAGTAAAAAGTCATACAAAAGTGAAATAGCACATTTAAGTTTTGTACAGCAACTATTTCGTCAAAATCTGCTAACCGGAAGTATACCTAAAATACCGATTTTCACGAAAGCGGCTCTAACTATTTTGATTAAATTCATTGTATCAATGTAAAATTAAGCGCTTTTTAATATAATGTAGGTTTTATTCACATTGATGTTCTCTAACCGAGCTAAAATAGATAATATTCAAAATTTGTTCCTCTGAAGTATCTTTAATTTTTACTTTCAGTAGTCTATATATGAAATATATAGTAAGGGAAAGTATTGCGATCGTGAAAAATTGTGAAGCAAAGTTGCGTGTGTGAACAGTTTAGCTCAAAAACGAAAAGTGTAATAAATAATCATGTGCCACGAAATATTTTTAGTACGACAAGAGTTCCACTGATAAAGAAGGCCGCTATATTTACAATATTTATATTCCATTGTCGATAATTTTATTTGTTTAAGCATTGGTATATATACAAATTTTAATTTTTATATTGCTGTAATCTATACAATTAAAAATATTAAATAATACCAACGGTAGCATTTATGAAAACCGCATATGTATATGTATATAATATTGTTGGAGTCCGTAATTGTAAAAATGAGTAAAATCGAAGATATAAAGTGATACCTCCGATTAGATAGTTTTCAGGGAAAATGTTTAAAAAAAAACCGTAACATCATAACACTATACATACCTTCAGTACGTAATTTCAGATTCGTAAAACTTTTCGTTTTTAATACAACTTTATGTTCATACACACCATTTTATACACTCATAAGACGTGTATTTCCATTGAAAACTTAGATTTGGAAATGCTTACGATCGTAATAATATATATAATTTTGAATACACTAATTTTGATAAACATATATGTTTATTAAATTTTTCTCCCATTAAAAATTATTTCTACTGGAAGTAGAGAGGAAAATAAAAGTGATGTGCGCACTAGGTTTTTGGTTTTGTATAGTACAATGGGGTCACATTCAGGTCTGTATATAGAAGCCAACGGCCCCAGTGATTATTTTTCCGGGCCTCCGCTAAATATTAAATTTACCACTAAAACAAAATCTCGTCAATCATAATGTATGGAGCAAATTGTTCATAGATATTGTAATATTCTTTCTTTTTTTTTCAATTTTTCATACATTCCCTTTCTTTTCAATATTTTCTTAAATTTGTCATATTATATTTACTCTTTTTATATTTGAATATT